CATATACTTAGAAAAAGTATAGACTGAAAATATGTGTCTCAGAACAAAGAAACGTGGCCAGTGTATCCCAGACTGGTCAAAGATGGAGAGGACTATTAATGTACCGGGAGATCTTACTAAGAAAACAGCCCCAAATGAAGCCTAAAAGGATACATTAAAAAGAGGACTAAACATATGAAGAACAGGATAAAACAGTCTAGTATATGTCTAACAGCAATTTTAGAAAGAAAAACAAAAAAGAACAGAAAACAAAAGTAAAAATTTTTTTCGAATTTATAAAAAGCATGAATCCTCATGATCAATGAGGATTGATCAATGAATCCTCATGATCAATCTATAACTTAACAGTCAGTTAAAGCACGGTGGAGAAATTAGGGCAAAGTAAAATATTTTCAAGAAAACACACCAAATTGAGAATTATAACCAAATAGAAATTACTGAGGGGATTTCTACTTTAGTGTGAAGAAAACGAACCAAAATTAAATACTGTGATGCAAGAAGAAAAGTGAACAAAGAAATTGGTAATCATGTCAGTAAATGTAAATAATTATTGCTCATATGAGCCAGTTATATTGAATAAGGTGGTGAAAAATTAAAATGGGATTCAAATATTGATAAAAATAACATGGAAATCATGAAGGGGTTGTTGAAGTTAAAGTGTCTTAGGTCATTTTGGAAAGAGTAGACAGATAATCTTCCAAATTTAATTCATATATGAATGTCATATTAAAATAAAGTCTAAAAGAATAATAATAGAGTATATAACTACTGAACTAATAAAAAATAAACTTAATTAAAGAAAAGAAAGATAGGAAATAAGGGAGGGGCAGAAACAAGTATAGAAAAGGCAAGATAGGGGGCTGGGGTTGTGGTTCAGCGGTGGAGCGCTTGCCTCATATGGATGAGGCACTGGGTTTGATCCTTAGCATCACATAAAAATAAAATAAATAAAATAAAGGTATTGTGTCCATCTACAACTAAAAGTATTTTTAAAAAAGAAAAGGCAAGATAGATATAAAGGCTAAAACATGATGTTAAAATTAAGTTCAAATAAATCAAATAAAAAATGTAAATGGGCAAATCTCACTAATTAAAAGAAAGAAAGAGATCACATTAGTTTAGAACTAAACAAACAAAACCAACCATATGCTAGTAGAAGAGAAGCCCCCAATAAAAAAAATAAAGGTTTGATGACAAAAAGGAAATAAAAGAATAAACTGAGAAAATATTAATCAGAAGACATTATAACTATATTAACATCAGGCCAAAAAAAAAAAAAAAAAAAACAATGGCAAAGAGTATTACTAGGAATAAAGAGGGTTGTTAAAAATTTATTTTCATTTTAATTCTAAGATTTTATTAATATAAAAACATATATTTGCTTCTAAATATGGAGAGCAAAAATTGATAGACTTGCTAGAATATTCAAACTCACAATCATAAATTTATATATACATGATTATATAATTTTTTTTTGTATCAGGGATTGATATCAGGGGCACTCAACCACTGAGCCACATTCTCAACATTCCCAGCCCTATTTTGTATTTTATTTTGAGACAGGGTCTCACTAAGTTGTTTAGCATCTCACCGTTGCTGAGGCTGAACTGTGAATTTGAGATCCTCCTGCCTCAGTCTCCCAAGCTGCTGGGATTACGGGCATGTACCACCATGCCTGGCATAAGTGATATTTTTAATTCCTCTCTGATAAAGTAAGATTCTTCATGACTTTTCACTGTCTCCATGCCATGTCTTCTCTGCAATGTAATCAATAACGTTTAATCTTTTTTGCCTACTAATTCACAGATGTATTTTAAACACAGAGAATTGCTTAACACTCAGCAGTTGCCAAATATTTACTTGTTAAATGCTTGAACCATTCAAGATGGAAAAATAGTAACAATGACATCAGGTAATGCAATTAACAAGCACAATCAAACCAACTCTCATCAAACTTTCGGTCCTGAATTAGCAAATGTGCATCTTCTCAAACATACGCAGGATATTTATGAGAATCGGCATGTCCTAGACCATATTCTCTGACCACAATCCAATTAAAGTAGAAATAAACAACAAAACAATAAACTCTATGTATTATAAAATGTAAAACATACTTCTAAGTACCTCCAAGGAGAGGAAAAAAACCACAGCAAAAATTAGAAGACAGATTGGATGGTAATAAAAATATAACATTTCAAAAATTTTAATCATCTAAAGACTATTTAGAAGGAAACCTATAAATTTATATGCACATATATGCAAAAGGATAAAAAAGCGATGAGCTACACATCTAAATTAAGAATTTTTAAAAAATCCAACAAAGTAAACACAAAGAAAATATAAGGAAATAAAAAAATAAAGATGAAAACAGAAATTATTGAAATAATAAAAATACACAATGAAGGACCAAAAAGCCAAAGCTATTTCTTTGTAAATAGAGAAAACTCTGGCAAGAATGATCATGGGAAAAAAAAGATAAAACTTAATATTAGGAATGAAATAGGGTCAAATTTCAGATACAATAAGATTTTTTTAAAAAAATAGAATGAGAGAAATACTTGATATCAATATATTTAAAAACAAATAAAATGAACAATTCTCTAGGGAAAAAATATAAGTAATCAAAACTGAATCCTAGCAAAACAGAAAATCTGAATAAATCTTTAATCACGAAACACCTTAAAACACTTCTTAAGACACTATCAAAAATAACTTCGAGGCCAGATGATCTTGTTGGTGTCTTCCTCCAAACATTCAATGAACAGTTAATCTTTGTTTTATATAAAACATTCCATAGAACAATAAGGATTTATTCCCACCTCAGTTTATGAAGTTAACAGAACCTGTTATTGAAATTAGGGTATTTCTCTGAGCCAACCTCCATAATAAACATGGATGCAAAAGCCTAAATGAAATGCTAGCACACTTAAGCCAGGAATGCATAATAAATAATAATATACCACCAACCAACTGGCTTTCGGCCCAGGGGATCAGGATGGCTTCCTGTCAGGAGGTCCATCAGTATATTTCACCATGTGAATAGATTAAAGAAGAAAAATGGATCTTCTAGATACAGGTATTGATAAAATTCAATACCTGTCCATGATTTAGAAATGAAAACAGAAACCTCAGTAACTAGAAACACAATGAATCTTCTTGACCTGATATCAGGTAACTATTTTAAAGGGTTTAACTCTTTAAAAAATTGCCCTTAAAATAAAAGCTGAGATAGGGATGATTGTTTGCATTCACCATTGTGCTGGAGCACCCAGACGGTACAGACCTGATTTAAAGGAGTCAAGATTTCCAAGGAAGAAGCCATGGCAAATGTGCCCGTGGGCACACCCATGTCCTCACCCATGTCCTCCCAAAGGTCTTAAGAAGAAGCTGAAGAATTCCATACCTCTATGGAACCCTAGAATTCCAGAATATCTGGAGTTTTCTCATTGTGGTGACTTTCACTTTTTTAAAAATTCACAAAACGTATTTCATCTAAAAAGATGAGCTACTATTGTCTTATCTACATTGTACCAGAACCTTTTATAATGTGGACTTTCTGGGTGGACTGAGGGTTCAACATAGCCTGACTTCCTGTTTGGTACTTTCCCGTGCCACTCTACATCCAGCAAGAAGGCTGATGATCAGCATCTCCTGACCCTCTGGTCTGGGAGCCATGGGAGCTGCACTGAGCTTGGCCACAGATGACAGAATCATTATTGCTCTAAGAAGCCCTTTTATTTGTTGTTTTCCTTTTTTTTTTTAAACAAGTTACTCTCAAATAATACTATATTCTAAAGATCCCATTTCAGTATTTGGAAGAGGAGTAGTAGTTAATTTTCTTTTCCTTGACTCTAAATGGCTTACTCTTGTGGTTTTTCTAGGTATTTCTGTATTATGACTCATTCTGAGCAACTGACTGGGAATGTAGGAGAAGTCTTCTTTCGCTATTTTGATTAACTGTGTGATTGACCCTGGGCCAGTCATTGAACCTAATCAAGTAACTTCATTCATTGCTAAATAAAGATAAAACACAGCTTGGAAACATGGGTTAAAATTAGACCTTGCCACCTAATGACTCACTCTCTTAATAACTTATTCACATGAATTAGATCTTTCCTGTAACATTTCCACTTGGGAAAAAACCTCCTTTATAATGTTTGCCTAGCTGTTGACCATTTGGCATCTATCCTATTCTGTGTTACCTCTCCATTTGTTTCTTTAGCTTTACCCATTGGTTTCCGTGAACATCCATGGCAGTCCATGATGATCAGCCCAACTCAAGTGTTGATATTGTATGTGGGGGAAAAATACTAGTACAAGAAATATGAGTGGAAGAGAATGTGAACTTAGATGAAATCCTGATTCAAGTTCCAGTTCCCCCATGTATTCGTTTTGTGATCTTAGCAAAGTCGGTGAACTTCTCTGCACCTGCACTTTCTAATTTACCAAATGGCAACCATACTCCTCCATTTTTTTTTTAACCTCATGGGTAACTGTTACAAAAACCAGCCAATGAATGTGGACAGTGCTTTAAAAAACTGTAGTGTATTAGATATTTGGATGTTTTACTCATCTTCACTGAATAATTCCCTTCACTGAATTTAGTCACAATACATAGGTCTTAAGAAGACCTTAAGGGCCATCCATCCGTGTTAGACAGAGATGACTTAAAATTATGATAAGAACTGAGCAATCTGTAACTTTGCACACAGTAAGTCAGGATCAGGAAGGCTTTTAAGGTGATAAAATATAGCTTTAAGATTCTGGTGCCTGTTCGAAAACCAGGAGATAAACTAGTTAATACCTGAAGATCTTTCCTAGTCCACTTTTCAGTGTTTTGAAACCATAACCCATGGTGGAAGTTAAACATACAACATAAACGAAGGGAAAGCTGAAGAGCGGCAAAGCCCAAGATGTGAACAAAGGAACCACTGATCCCTGAGTCATGCAGAAATCCAAGGGGAAAAACGCTGAAGACAGAGGGTGCTGCATCTTCTTACCTTTGCTCTGTGTTAAAGAGGGCAAAGATGTGCTTGCTGGACATGAAGCTCTTTTCCACATCCCGAACTTTCAGGTTGTCCAAGGGAAGCATGTACTTCTTTTCTTTTTCCTATTTTAACAGAGAAAGAGAGAGGGTGGGGGACTTCAATAAAAGATCTGGAAGCATGACAATGGCATCACATATCCAGAGTTGATGACACCATCTCAATACCATCAAACACTGTTTTGATGCCAGCTACAAAGGAATAAAGGTTATCTGACATGGAGGACTCAAGCGATTCTCAGCACACGGGCTGGAAAAGTGGGAGTGGGGGAGGGAAGGTATACAGGAAGGACTCCAAGATGGAGAAAACACATGGTCCTCCATCCTTCCCCCTCCTGTGGGTCCCCTTAGATGTTTTTAAATGTTAGTTTGATATTAAGAATTTAGCCATCTGTTAATATTTAGCAAAAATGTTCTGGTCCTAATTCAATGAGAAATGCCAGATGGATTTAATTTCATGTTTTATTTGCAGCCTAAGCAGTTTTGATAGCCAGTGTTGGCAGGGGAGTGAAGCACAGGGACCCCAGTATGAAACACCCCGGATCAACCATGATCAAGTACAGAAAATACTTCCCCTAGTTGGGTCTAGAATAAAAGTTAAGTCCAGAACAGGAATCACTCCGTAATTTCATAGAATTATTGAGCTCTTTGGGCGGGAGAAAAGAACCCATTAGAAGTAGGCTGATATTAACTAGAACAAGTTCTTTTTTAAAATGAACAATCCTTCAGGAAGAGTATGGACATTGGAGAAGCAGGGTCTACCAATGGGACCAAACTGACATTAGAAAAACATGTTGAATGCCAAAGAATTACTGGAAACATTTCCTTTTAGGGACTGGCCCAGGGGCAATATCATATGTGCAAATGCCTAACAACCAGTATAATAGGAGAGAGCCAAAACTCAGCTTAAGAAATCCAGTAGATACCTCTCACCACAAGCATGTTAGCGGAGCCCTTGTTAAACAGTAGGACTCTGTGTGAGAAGAAGCCAGAGTGGACTCCAGAGGGCTAAGCATGGAGACAGCTATAACTTTTAATGAACAACTATTAACACCTATGGGAAATATGCCCACCATACAGGTATGTTTGACATGAGCCACGCTGCCCCTACAGCACGCAGACCACTTCCTTGGAAGTCTGTGGCCAGACTCAGCGGCACCTAGCCAAGTCCCCCGTCCCAGTACCAGGTGGTGGGTGCCACATGTGTTTCAGGGAGCATCATGGCCTTGCCGTTACTTACTCTTAAACCAGTCTGGGACAAGTCAGGCCAGTGCACTAGATGAGCAAAAAGGGGGTGCTGTACTCGACCACAAAAATGAGGCCGCGTGAGGCAGATAGATGACTTCCTTCCCATTGGAGGAAGCTGGCTGGGGAATGAAATGGCTGAGCTGGCAGACAAGGTCTTCAAAGAAAAGAAAAAACAGAGAAGAAACCAAGTGGCAGCAGAGACAGCCAAGGAGAAACAAAGAAAGAGAGCTCTGCGAGTGGATCCCAAGGTTTCCTCCACAGCAGTGGTTTATTCACAAAGGCAAGGTATTCTAAGTGGTAAGACACAGAATTCAAGCACTGAAGTATCACAGCTGAGTCCAACCTACTCAGAACACTTGTCGAACTACTTTAACAAAGAATCCTGAATTTAAAAGAGGCAGGATTCTAGATTGAATGAAAACCTATCCAATACATAATCAAATGAAAATGTTTGCGACCCAGGGAACATTTTTTTTTTTTTTTAAATTGGACGTTTTTCAATGCCCTAAATTTAAGCAGCTGGACTTTTTAAAAGCACCATCCTCTTCAACCTTTTGAAATGATGGATTTGCCTTTTAATGGGAAATCTGCATTTCATTGTAAAGATGGAACACAATGTCCTTGGCTCGGTTTCTGCAGAAGTAGTCTCGCTTTTGTACTGCATTTTTTAGTGTATAGGGAAGACCAAAAATCCAGCAAGCTTACATCAGATACTAAACAGGGGAGGAAAAACCTACATCTGTGGATGGGGGACACAAAAAATGCAGTCGTCATTTCCAAAGTCCTAAATGTCATTTATCCAAGGTTTTTGAGGGCACATTGCTAAATTATTTCATAATCCCCAGACTGACCAAGGAAGAAAAAAAAAATACTCAGACCGATTTGTTCAATTAAAAGTTGTAAATCAAATAGAGAATTAAACCAAGCAGCAGCAACTCTAAGCAAGGAAACAGTATATCACGGATATTTCTAAAAAATCTTGGTGGTTCTGGGAAAGAATGATGTTCTGCTGAAAAAAAAAGGAAAAATATCTTGCATCTGAAATAGCTAAAATGAAAGGCATAGAAAAGGAGGAAGGATATACAGAATTATAATTTCCAAACTACAGTGAGTTTTAGCACTAGCTTAATTAAGAAATTTGTTAAATAATCATTGTTAATTCTACAAAACTGTCTAATAAAGTGATATCCAGTTGTTGCCAGCCACAGGCAGTGACTGAGCACCTGAAATACAGTAAATATGGATATGTGGAAGGTAAAATAAACACCAAATATTTAGTATTAAACATGAATATAAATTCTTACTTTTTATACTGATCACATGTTGAAGGGATATTATTTTGAATGCATTGGGTTTAAGTATTATTAAACATAATTTCGCCTGTTCACTTTTACCCATTTGAAGGTGGCCACTGGACAATTTCCAACAACACACATGGCTCACGTTAAATTTCTTTGGATGGCACGGGACACTTGCACTCTCTTTTCTTCTTCCCATCCACCCAAACAACTTTCCCTCTGACAATCCCACTTCTGCTCTGGAGTGGATCCATCCTTCATTCTCTGGTCACCATGCCAGAAGTCTCACACAGTCTCTGGCCTCCTTCATCACATCTAGATCACGTCACGTTGTCTGAAGCGTGTCCTGGCTCTCTGCTTGACTCTCCCACCACATTACTGCAGGTCCTGGCACCTCCCAAGCACGTTGTCATCAGTGGTCTCCCATCTACTCTTTTTGCCTTCTCAGTTCTCTAATATCACCAGGGAAGGCAAAATTTTAAAGGTATTCTGTCAAGTTCACTATAGTCCTTCAAAACTTTCAGTAGCTTTCCTTTAATTATGAAAGAAAATCCACGAAACTCCATAATGTGACATTTACAAACCCCCATGGATCGACCCAGCCCTGATTTATCAATATCTCCCCTTTTCCTCCATAAGGACTCTCCATTTGGACCAAATCCTTCTCTGCCCACACTCTTTACCCAGCCTGAGTTGCCCTCCAATTCTTCCCTACCACAACTATGCTGTTTTAGTCCAAATAAGTTCTATTTCCCATACAAAAATGTTCCCAAGCTTATAATTGTTACTGCCCCATCTCTCTTCTTTCAATTTAGACAATAGGTGTTATTTATTCTATTCATTTTGAAAGGGTACGTCTAGATATTCTCATTTTATAAACGCATTACATTGAAAAATTGGTGTGAAGGTTGTTCATTTGGAACTCAGAATGTTCAGTCAATTCTATTCATCAAGTAGGTTACCAATGCAAAGAAAAACAAAAAAAGCAGAGGACAGTTTTTTACAATAAACAAGATATAAGATTTGATATTTTAAATGTCCATTTTGGAGGAAGCATGGGTAAAATTCTAGGGTAAGATTTTTTTTTTTAACTGTGATTCAAAAAGTTCTGCTTATTTTGAAAAGCTCCAGAGACTGATGAAATAGTCGGACCCCATTGTATTTTTTGTATTTAAGCACAATAGCTCTTCTTTTCTCAGTAAAAAGGGATCACTACCAGTGTTCGTACAGGAAGCAAACAGGATGACAGAAATTCTTTCACAATCTTCATTCAGCCTGCCTCTTCAAGAAGGCTGCAATCTCCTTGAGGTTAAGGATTATGTCCTAATTCTTTTATGTTTACAACTAAATAGTCACCACACTGATGCATATACAGCTATCACATATCAAACATCTCACAAATAGAATTCCAACATGGCATTATTATTATTATTATTCCATTATGTTAAAAATCATCTAACCAGGTGTGACATAAAAATTTATTTTTAATGCTTCAAAGATTGATTTTAAATTAATGTTATACCATTTTCTTAGTATCATGTAATTTGTTTAAAGTTTTACTAACCTAGACCAATATAACCTCATGACTTAAACATATAAATAGGCTATGAAAATCCCATATACTTTAAACAATATAAAAACAAAACCATGCAGAGATTCTGCTCTTCAGCAGATGAATGTGCTAAAAAAGTTTTAAAAATGGTAGAGCTTAAAGAAGATTAAGTTAGAAGAGCAAAGCTATCTAAAAAAGCCAGTAATGTCATCAAATATATTTTTAAAATATATGTTATATGTGCTAAACTTATTTTTTAAATGTGTGCTATTTGTTATTTTTTTTCCCACTGGCTTGCTCAAATATTCTAAAACATGAGAACAATATTTCTTGGGCTTATAAATAATAAGATTAGAAACAGGTCCCATGACAGACTAATGGCGGATCACCTATGCTGCTGAGAATGGCTGTGTTCCATGGGAAAGAAGAGTCCCAGTTTTGGCCACTCCTCATCCCAGACGTCACAATGTCCCACGTGCATTCTCTGTTAGTGCGTTCGCCGTATTGTGTACTTCTAATCTGTTGAATGCCTTTTCTCCTACTGAGAAACTGATATGTATTTGTCTTCTCTCTGCTGGCAATGAGCGGCACATTCCTGAGACAGGCACAGAACAGTGTGTGTCAACCACATGCTCAGTAGCACGGTGCCAGCCAAAGGAGGAGAGGCTGTTCCAAAGACAGGGCAGCATCTTTTCTCTGAGTTGAAAAGATGGCTCATCCAGGGGCTAGGAATGTTTCTGCAGAATTCTGAAAAACGCATGAGATACCAATGGGTGTTATATTTTTCTTGCTTGTTGCTCAAGAGATAATGTTGATCAATTTTTTTTTAATATAAACAAAGTTTTCTTTTTACCTTGATGCACTTTGGCCAAAATGTCTGCAGGCAGAGAAAGTGGAAACACTACCCTGGGTTTCTGGGTGGGGACGAGGACTGCCATGTGTTTCCCAAGCCTCTCGTCCTCTGGGGA